CCAGAGTCTGGAACAAACTCCCCCCAGAGGTGGTACAATCACCTACCCTGGAGATCTTCGCAAGATGACTGGACGCACACCTTGGGGGTCATCTGACCCCAGCAGTCTTTTCTTGTCTGCCTAAGAGCAGGGGGCGCTGGACCTGATGATCTTGTGAGGTTCCTTCCAGCCCCAACGTCTATGAATCTAAAACTGACAGGCCCCTTTCCAGTGCAAGGGCTGAAAAGCCCCTGGAGCATCCAGCCACAGAGGAACCATAAGCAGGGGCCATGTGCCCCCACTCCCAGGATGTGGCAACCCTTTCACTCCCACCACCCACCCCAAACAAGGCTGGGACACCACCACCCAGTGTCTGAGGCAGAGAAGGCAAGCTGAGAACGAAAGCTTTGCTTTCCTAGTCATGCCAGCTGTGGTCTATTGTTGGTACCGTCAAGTCCTGGCTGCTCCAGGGCAGCCCCTCACCCTCCACGTGTTTGGGAGTAGAAAGGGAGGTGAGGAGCAGTGCAGTCTGGCATACCTGGATGAGTGCCCAGATGCTGGGTGTGAAATGCTGCCTGTCCCCATGTAACGCTGAACCAGCTCACAGAATAGTGGATTTTCCTGGTGTGCTCTGGAGACGGTCCAGGAAGTTTGACCTGGTCTTCAGTGGCCTGCACACCGAGACTCTTGGGGGTAGACGTGTATGTGGGATACTCTAAACGTTGCGTCTGTCCGCACCCTCAATGTCAAATGCTGTGCTGCTTAGCATTCCTCTTTGCTATCAGGAAAGCTGTGGCTGGGGCTTTGCATGTTGATTGTATTGATTACAGCTTGAGGCCCTGATAGCATAAACAGAGAGTGTGTCTAATTAATCACAATGCTTGATTAGCTTTTCTGTACTGAGGAGATAAACTGGCTTCTTGGAAAAGTTCACCCCCAGAAGAGTCTTTCTTCAGTCAATGCAGAAGGAAGGGTAAATTGGACACAGTCCACAATCCACATTGCTCAGCAGGCCAGCCCCCACTTGTCTTCATGCAGGGCTCTATTTTCATCTAAAAGATCCCAGCACAGGGTTTTATAAGAAGTGTAACTCGCTCATGCTGTCTCACGAAGTAAGCACATATGCCGTTTGAGATGCTTCCTTGAAAGCCGAACCTCCAGAGGCTGCAAATTTCATGTGTGTCTAACGCCTGTCTTGGCTGCTAGAGTAAAGCATCTGTCAGCATTTCCATTATAAGCCCACTTCTCAGAGTTTTATCAGTCAACTGCAAATCTTTCTCTCTGCTGAAACTTGGCAGACAGTGTTTCTGTACAGGTTAAGATTTGTGTTTTGGGAAAGGTTGGTGTGGTCACTTTACTGTCCACACGTGGCTCTGCTATTGCTGGACAGGTTTTCATCATGCACTTTAATAAAAGGCTTTAGCTTTAGCAATAACATTTGGTCAGCAATGAATCCATAATATTGAATTGCATCTATTAAAGGAAATTTAAAGCCAAGATATTACAGTTTAAAATTGGCTATTGAGGCAGTGTAAAAATATTAAAAGGCACCTACTGGAGGCCTAGTCTTTTAGATGAGAGAGATAATATCATTCTTTCTCTTTGGATCTCATCCACCACCAATCTTTAACAGCTCTGTGTGTGCCATTGTGGTGATGGAGGGTGTTCACCACTCATGCTCTAAGAAACATTACATGTAATCTTCTTTAAATTGGTCATGTAATTTCTCTTGGGTCTTATCTTCACTTGGAAACCTATTGTGCTTGATTGCAGTTGTGAAGGATCATCTAAATGTGCTTCACCACAACTGACCACCGGTTGTAAACCAGCCCAAACTTTGCATTAAGCATCAGCAATTAAGTTAAGTGTAAACTAACGAGGATTAAATCCTGGCCCCATGGTAGGACAAAGACTCAAGGACTTTGGCTGGATGCAGAAAAAGCAGAAGTCTAAATATCAGCAGCTGACGTGTTTTTAACTGTGACCTCCCTTTGCCCAACTGGTATTCTTAGAAACGAGGGGCGCTCAGAGCCAAGTGGACAGAGGTTCTGCTCAGAGCATGTGCACGTGCTGGGGGCTGAATGATAGCACAGCCTAGCTGCGATGCTGGTCCTACTAGAGTGAAGGCGTACACAAGAGTGTTTTAAACGTCCCGTTGTGCAAATGCCGAAGTGATGGGAAGTTTGCTAAGTAGCTTTCTCTGGATGCTTGCAGTATTTGCTGAATTTCTACACCAGCTGTTCTGCTTCCCAAGGCAGAGAACTCATTTTCCATGTTGGCTGCAAAAGAGCAGGTGCGTGTCCTCCAGACTGTGTGTACACACCAGCAGCAGATGATGTGGGAGCAATAGCATGTGCTCCAGCAGCAGAACAGCAACAGACAGAAGGAAAGCACAAGGCCTGTTGTAGCAGCCACTCGTCTGGCTCAGCTCTGCCAGGCTCCCCTGTCAGGAAAAAGCCCTCCAGTGCGCGGCGTGAGGTCAGCATGCCTTTGCAGAAATCCCAGCAAGCACCAGTTCTCTCTTTACCCTGGCCTGGATCACGGCCCAGCCTGGCAGCATAAAGCAGTGAGAAGTCAGTCAGTTCAGCCAGCTTTGAGGATTAGAGAAGTCCTGGCATGATAGAAAGCCGTGCCGACTGCTCTTGCACTTCTGGCCAGTGGCTCAGGGATGTGACCAGGATGTCCTCGTTTCCAGGTGCTGAAATGGCCTTGGAACTGCTGTTTCGTGCCACGGATCTGTCCAGTTCCCAGCCAGCCGCAGCATCAGGCAAGCATAAAGCACTGGGTTAAAGTCCCTTTCCATGGTTTTCCACTGAGCACAGATTGGGCCAACCTAAGAGAAGACGCCTCTGAATGTATGAGTATGCAGGTAGTATGATTTGCGCTGCAGCGCAGCCAAGGGACTTCATGGCGTGAAGTACTGACGTGGCACATAACGAAAGGATCGTCTGGACACTGTGGAGGTTAGGATCTAAACCCAGTGATTCTGAACCAGGGTGTGGCGGCAGATCCTTTCAAGGGTGCCATGCAATGTTAGCCACGCGTAAGTGGGCAAACATGATTCACAAGATAAACCCAGAGATCTGCAGTAGGAATCCATCGGGGTAAAAGCACCTGTAACTGCTGTGGTCATTCTGAGTTCTCTGCAACAGGATAACTGCTCTGGTATTTTTCTGCAATCAACAAACAAGTGAAAACTAAGAGCCGGCCTTCCCTGGGGGTGCCTCAAGCCTATCCAGGGATGCCTCGAGTCTAAAAAGGTTGAGAACCACTCGTCTAACTATTGTGCAGTTTTCCCTCGTGCTTCAGGGCAGTCTCGTGGACACTGAGATATTGCTGTTGTATTCAGGGGGGGACATGGTTTGCATTATCACTGTCCTTGGTGGAGCAGTTTCTCCATCTTCCCTCCCTTCCCCTCATCACATCACATTCATTTGCTGTGTCCTAGAAATGATGTGGAAAGTCGGGGGGAGGAGTCTTCCCTGAAGTTTTATTGTTGGAAGAGACTCTCTGGGCCGAGTCCTTTTCCACCTCTCTGTTGTCCCCGTGTCTTACGTGCGATGCTGTTTCATCCTGCCAGAGTCCTGAAGAACCGTTTACACGTCTGCTTTTAATGAGCGGTCGCTTAGCATTAAGTCAAAACAAAGTGAGAAGGGAGACCTACCCAGGCTCTGTGTCGGTGGGTTTTCAGGGACTCGGGGAGGCAGACTAGGGCCGTGGTTGGAAGGGTAGATGCCCAAGAGGTGGAATAGGATCTGGCTGGATGAAGGGGAGGATGGGCACGGCAGGGGGACCTGGTTTTCCAAAGTGCTGAGCCCCGACTAATACCACTGGTAACTGCGAGAGGCTCAGCACCATTGAAAGTTGAGTTGAAATGTATGTGTGCAAGTTTACTTTTTCTAGCAAGCTGTTTTGTAGTCTAATGTAAACCTGAAATTTGTTGCCATCCAGGGTATTTCAGGCTGCCATAATTAGGGAAACTAAATAAAATGTTATCAGAAAATTCCACATTAGCATGAAAGTCCATGACAAACCTTTGTAGATTTATTTTAATGTATTAGGATGAAATTCTAGTGCATATCATGTTAATTGTGCTTATTTTATTATTAGGTTTGATTTGATAGCTGGTATTAGCAGACGAATCTATAGCAAAATACACTGTACATCAAAAGAACCATTTCAAAGCAAAAAAGTTTGTGGGTTTTTGGTCAGATATTTTTAGTTATTATCAAATGCATTATTTTCTTGAAAGAAAACGTTGTGAGCTCCAGCGCTGGCTGAAGAGAAGCATGTAGATGTCTATGTGGGAAAGGCTGCTTCTTGTAATGTATTTACCCAGGAAAGTTCAGCTCATAAGCAGCCTCTGGTTTTCATTAAGCTCCTGCTGTTATCCAAAGTTACCCAATCACAAATCAGAAAATTTAGTATTCCTCATCCTTCGCCCTGAGCACACAAAATCGTACTTCTTCTTACTGAAACACTATTGAAATTAAACTGTTTCATCAGCATTGGATTTTTCCCCAGCTGGGCCAGACTGAATGGTGAAATATTGGTGCTTCTATGTCTTTCTGTTACTGGTGCTGTGTCCATGTAGGAGCGCTTGACTGACGCTGGAGCTTCTGAAAGCCTCCCCCGGTGTGGACACTGCTGCATTTTACATGAGTACAGTACAAGCCCAACGCCACCTGCAAAATGGGCTCTACTGACACAAGCGCAGTGTCATTGTCCCCTTTGGAGCCCTGAATGCCACCATGGTGCTGCCAGCCCAGCACACACCTGGCTGGAGGTACTGACCTTCAGCTTGAGCACAGCAGAAAGTGCTACCAAGAGAGCCCTAACGTTTAACTTCCTGCTCTGCTCAAGCTGAAGGTCCGTGTTAGCAAACACACGCAGCGTATAATTTGGCCCCATCTTACATTCTGGTTTCATTCTCTTCTTATGAAACGGTTTGAAACCAATTGAGAAACTGGAGAGCAGAGAGCTTTATTCGAATGACTGACATTTGGATTCCTGTTTTTCAGAGACTGGCTAAATGTGTTCAGCCCACCCATCATCCTGCCGAGCCAGCAGCTAGCTGGGCACACCGAACCGCCAGCAAGTGTAGGCGCTCCAGGTAGGAATTTCTAAAGCGTAGGTGACTAGGGGTAACCCTGCAGACTGACCGGGAGAGAGATCTCTAGAAGCCTATCATCATACAGCAGCATGGGGTTTGCCCTCAGAAGAAATGCCCCATGCTGGGTTTGGAGGGGTAGTGAGAGCCCACAGGGGGTACATACCTTTTACTCGAGCAGTTATTTCCACCCAGAACCACTCCACCTACTTGAAAGGAGTTGGGCTGAAACTCATTCAAAAGGGACCGCTTGCAAGTCAGCATCAGTCAGGAGCGTGGGTCAAACCCGACATGGAAGCTCGGCATTACTCGTGAGCACTGGTAAAGGCCATTGAGTCACCACATTAATCAGATGCCAGCACCCAGGATGTCAAGTCTGATGGTTGCAGTGACGAGGAGCCTAGATGGAAACTGGAGAGCCATCAAAAATGGAACAGAAGCAAATACGGCCCCTGCAAAGGTCCTTTTCCCTTATCTGCTGCCCTAGGGAGTAAAGCAGGTTCCTGCATTTTTCTTCAGGTGCAGAGAATTTATTGTGAGAGCTCATAAATCTCAGCTGTGTTTTTGAGCCGCCCAAGGGATGAAGATGTCTCAGTGATTTACTGTCTAAACTAGATTATGCCCCTCAAATTGGGAATCCTTTCAGAGGTGTACATCTGTAATTGCTTATGATAGCAGAATAGGACTTTGCTGTCAAGAGAGGACCTTGTTTTGAAGAATCGAATATGTTATGTTAAGTGTCCTAAGTAAGGCTAAGAGAATGGGACAGTAATCCCTGAGTTAAAGGCATGCTGAACACACATTTCCGCTAGGTGCTGGAGAAAGTTCTTGGAGCTAGTATTATGAAACACACAATTTACTGCAGACATCCAGCATTTCCATAAAGTTAAACACTGAATAAGCGTGCTAAATCGTGGCTTTCTCCCATTCAAGCAAGACCCTGATCAGCATAATCTGTGATGCGGTCATAAACTAATTTGGCATTGGTGGTGAAATCTTTTGAGACACATTGATAGTATTGCTGTAGGAAACGGAGAACCCCTGTTCGCTGTAGCAACAGTGGCTTTTTTGTTTTCCTCTTTCCAGGGTGGGGGACCCTAACTTCTGACTGAAGTTGTACCTGTCGCCTCACTGAGGCAGCTCAGATAATCCCCTTCCAAGCTTGCTGGCAACCATATGTGCCTGCTGAGCTCACTGGGCAGCATGAGTCCCTTTGCCATGGGAGCTGGAAGATGTAAGGGAGAGTGACCAAGCAGCCCCATGACTCGCGCTGCCCAGACAGGGACACCGCTGGGCTGCCTTTCCTCCCTGCGAGAGGGCGATGGTCAGCTCAGCAGCCCTGCATGGAGGAGTGGACGCAGGTGCCCTGAAGAGCTCTCTGGGAAAGGAAGGAGCTCTTGGACGAACTTTGTCCCAGCTCCACTGAGTCCCAGCCGTTCACCTGCAGACCTTGGGAGGTGGTGATGCAGGCAAGACTGACTGTCTGGGTGTTTTAGTCAAACACAAATTGTTGGGTGCGGTAAAATTTAAGGGCCTGTGATAAGTGGCATTAAACTAGGCAACCTAGCCTGGTTTCCTGGAAAACACACGTGCTGTAGAACACATGCGCTCACCTTAACTCTGTGAACCTTTATACACAGCCTTGTGTAGCCAGATTAGGGATTTGACCTGGAAATAGCAACTGGGTACCTTGCTGTACTTCTTGCAGAGCATCTTTCATGCAGAAAGGTCTTATTTTGTTATAAACCCACGTTAGATCAGCGCATACCATGAGCAGCTCTCTTCAATCCTTTATTTCCAGTCAGCACCTAGGCCACAGCAGAAGCACTCATGGCGCGCAGCCTGCCAGATCCCAACCAAAGCCATGTGTTCTACTAAAGGCCTGGTCACAAGCACACGGGAAAGGAAAGGAAAGGTCAAAACACCCCGCAGCAAAAGAACGGCGCGTTGGTACTTCGTTCACAAACAGAATCACTGCAGGAGCTCGAGGAATCCCTGCTTCTCCGGCTGCATTTTGCTCCTGATGTCACATTAGAAATTTAGTTCTGATATATTTGGAAGCTATACAAATAGCAACTGACAGACTTCAATAACTTCTGGCTCTTAAATCACGAGCATTCAGGTGCCACAAGATAACACAATCATATTATCAGTAATGAAAAACCTTTAATTATGTATAACCCTCAGAAAATATCCTTGTCATTTTAACCTTATCTCAAAAGAAGATGGTGCATATAATTTTATTAATCCTGCTAATAAAGGATTTGGAAGATATCATTTATTTTGGGCTTTGCTTGGGGAAATGTAGAAGTGTACATTTTCCAGGACTACCGTTGCACTTGAGCTTTCAGTTTCTTTCTTAACATTTGTTTCTTTAGAAAAGTAGTTTTCTGTTAGGTAATGCAAAGTAGACTTATGAGTCAGAAGTGTTGAACTGAGGTCACCGAGAGCAAAATTTGGGACAGTGTATTGGATAACTTCTAAAATAGTTTATCTCCTTTGGGTACTGATGTTTCACACGCATTATCTCCCTCTTTCTCTCTCTCCCTCTCTCTCAAACTCTTTGGAATTGGCCCGTTTTTCTATCAGTACTACTTGTCTTAACTGCTTATAAGACAGGACTCTTCACGACTACGAAGCTAGAGAGTTTTTTTTCTTAGGCTACCAATATCGACAATATTTATATGCTAACTCTGGAGCACATAATCACAGTATAGATTTTGAGCACCTTGGTTCAATGTTCAAGGGTCAGATTGGAGAAAATATTAATGATGTTCTTTTGAATTTGCATCTCCACTGACACTGATTGCCCCGGAGAACCGACCACTGATTCCAGGTCAGATATGACCCAGACACCTTGTATTGATCCCTTGACCGTGAGCAGTCTTCAGGTGCTAAACTCGGGAACACAGTGAATACGGAGGAGGATGTGTTTATACCTGTGCACTAATGCACTGACAAATGCCAGGACATCTCCTTTCTGGGTGCTCACCGTTGGACATGTAGATAAGCTGATCTCCATCAGACATGGGGGTGCCTCCCATGACTTCACTGGGACCATGCTCCATCACAGGGCCTGCTGTTCCTGTCACTTAGCTAGAAGGCAGGTTCAGTGTTGCTAGCAGGCCTAAGCCGAGATGCCCAGACATTTGTTTTGTTTTAACATGACTTTGACAGTAAATAGCGCTGCTCTCAAAATAAGGTTATACTATAACAGGTATATAAAGTCCTCCTTCCCAGAGCTTCAAACTCTGGAGCATGCTGGGGCAGCCAGGGGAGAGGCAGGTGGGGGAGAGAAGTTAGCACCTGGAAAGGTAATGGAGAAGGTGAATTAGGCTCAGCCAGTTGGAGGGGAAAGCATATGGCAAGACAATGGAAACAATACAATAGAAGGGAGAGAAAATGAATGGATTAAGGATGCGGTTGCAGATGAACAGAGAGAATGAAAATCTGAGCCTGCATGAGATGGGGAGGCCCGAATGTTTGCCTGCCTTGGGGGTTTCACTGAGCTGCGGAGTAAGACATCTGCACGATCTAGGTGGCCCTTGAAGCAGCTGTTCTATCAAAATGCTGGCCTGCCTGGCCTGGCTGCTGAGGATAGCAGTCCAGCTCCACTGGTTTACTGCTGATTAAATTGAGACAGTTTCCTCCTGACTACATTGTTAACACTACTCAGAGCACAAAAACTGAAATGAAAAAGTATATGTTTCCTTCTCTGGGCATCTGACACGTCAGCCTTTCTTTCTCCTTTCCTGGCCTGCAGATAATGTAACCTGTATTTCCTTGTGTGATCCCAGCTGTAAATAGATTGAGGGCTATGAAACTGCTGCTGTTAGCATAACAGGCCATTACTTATTATGAGGTAGCAGAGCATACACGCCACTTGGGTTTGTATTAGTGCTCTGAGAAAGAGATAAACATTTATGATGAAATGCAAGATACAGATTGCATTCAACTGTGAATTATTTCCTATCAAAAAGTTATACATCGTATAACTTACGTTGAGCTTGTATAAAAGACAGGATTGAAAAAAGAGCTTGGCAGTATGAAGCGCCTGTAGTACATATCCATCTTCAGCTCTAGCAGCAGACTTGTGCTAGAGGCTAAGAATTAGTTTCTGTACCCAAAAAACATTCTCGCAGTTTACATAATGCTCAAAACACTACATTTAAAATGATTTATTAGCTGACAGCATCTAATTTCCGCGGTGGTGCAGCACACCCTCCTATATCCCTTACCTATAATGTCTGTTTGGCTGGAAATCTGACCCCCTGGCATTAAAATCTTGTACACCAGGATTAATTTGCAAACTGGCTTTCAGGAAATAGAAATATTGCATTGTCTGAAAGCAGCAGAAATCGTGTATAAAGCAGGAATTCCTCTGTGCCTAGCATTTCAATATTTACTTACAGCAGACCTGCAGTGGGCTGGTTGCCTTGCTGCCTCTTTTGCTACCCTGAAAGAAGTCCTTGATGACACACACTAATAAGTGCAAGTTTTTCTTCAGTGTTTCTAACTTGGAAAGACTGGAGACCCAGGAAGGATGTGGCGAGCATCTGCTCGCCTTTTAAACTGCGTTTTGTCCCTAATGAATTTTTTTTAGCATTGCTAGGCTCAGAACTGACATGGTTTCCTTTCAGGGGCACGAAGAGTTGCTAGGGGCTCCTATACAGCGTCTGATTCTGTTCTCTCGTAGAGACATGGGTGAAATAAAGTCCCTCTTGCATATATGCACAACTGTAGCAGACAGCCGAATGGAGTCCAAAGATCTCCAGATTTGCCCTGAAGCTTTGCTTTTGGGTTTCAGGGGCTTGCACTAATAACATCTTGCCACCGTGACCAAAATGTGATGAAACTATAATATCTTTAAGCAATTGCTGCCCTGATATCAAGACACTGGGAAGTGCAGTAATTATAGTTCCATGTGTAGAAGCCAATTTTCAATTACATTTCTTGACTGTTTTACAATCTGTTGTATATTTTTAATTGTTACACTGCCTCACTGTACTTAAGGACAACTTACAAAATCATGGATTTATTTAAAATAGAAGCCATTTTTGGTTTATAGTCAGCAGACTGCATATGGCGCAGGATCTAAATGATTATTTATTGTGCTCTGTAAGTAAAATGTTTATCAGAATAATACCCGTCTGCTTACCAGCTCTGTAACATTTGGGCTAAGTCTGTTCACCAATTTTCAGCGGGATCCAGTATGAAAAGGGCTCAGAGTTAGAGGAGAAACACCAGTGTGAACTCTTCTACTGCAGCAATATTGGCATGGCTCTAAGTGTTAGAGTTTGATGCAGATTTTGATGCAGAATTTCCTCACCCAGTTCTCTAAAGCCAATCAGTGAAACAGAAGTAGTTAAGCATATTCAATATATGTAGTACATTTGTAATGTATAATAATAGAAAACCTATAAAAACTCAATGAGAAGTTAGCAAGCTTGAAAGTAAATGATGTGAGACCAGCACAGCAAGGCTGAACTCTTTGGATAAAGGCCTTTCATTTTATGTTCGATTTTCTGATTCTTCCACCTGGAACATTTTGATAGTGTGCAGTTTCATTCTTACAGATTTTAAAAGGCAATTGAATGCATTTTTATGTGCATGCAAAATACATTATTATTTAAGCAACTGATTGGGAAAGATCTCCATTAGGAGTACTTTGACCAGGTATCAACAGGATTATTTTTTGGTTAGCTTTAGTAGATGATTCCAGCAAGCATGGTGTTATCCAGTTCTTGGGCAAGCTCTGAATGATGTATGTTCAGCTGAAATACAGTGATATCTTAGACTCTCAATGAAAGCATAAATTCACACTTTGAGGGTGACCATTTTAAGGTTTTGCACAGAAGTCAAAAGAATGACACCCCTTTGGGGAGCGTGTCACGTGTGACAGATAAGATAGGCGTCTCCCTGGCACTTTGTGAGCAATGGAGCAGTAATTTACTCTGTTTTTCCCCCTTCACACAGGCGAAGATGACTTCAGTGCTGAAGATGATGAGGAAGTCTTGACTCTTCAATATGATCCATGTCTGAACTGTTATTTTGATCCAAAAACTGGGAAATACTATGAACTGGCATAGCCAGGTTGCACTATGGAGGGCGTTCCTCTGTTGAAAGAGACGTACATGTTTAGTTCCCAGTAAAGTACTGACCAAAATATAACATTTTTGTGTCATTTCAACAATTGAATTGACAAGCAGTTTGCAAATGGAACGTATCGTTTTGTAAATAATATCCTATTGTTGTAGTTTTGTACTCGGTTATGTTGCAGTGAGAAATCACACAATGCACCAGCTCGCGGGGCTCTGACATTGCCTCTGATGCTGGCTTATTTTATATTCAGTATTAAGGACTGTATGTGAATAAATTCAGTTTTTGCAGCATTGGTCTGTAAATTATGGCTTGATGCAAACAAACTATATTTTTTCACTCCTTGTTTAATGGATATTTGTTTTAATTGGTTCCCTAGCATCTTATCTTTATTCTTCAAGAAATACAGCGTGATGCTCCAGGACATGCTCCGCGAGCGCTCTCTCCTTCTTTGTCACTAAAGGCAACACTTTCCTTCCTCTGCAAGAAAGTTTCTCTACTAATTAAATGATATTACCATATCAGTGCTTCTGAGACACTTTAACCACCTAGATGGGAGCAGTCCTGCTTTGAGCCGGGGGCTGGACTAGAGCTCCCGAGGGCCCCTCCAGCCCTCATTTTCGACAGTTTGGTGATCCCTGGTGTTGGTGCTGACAGTTTCATAGAAAACGGGTTCTTAATAAGTGAAAGCAGCCATGCACAGTGTTCGCAGGTCGGATGTACTCAGGCTGCGCACTCACGCACAGGTATTTTAATTGCTGTGTCCCAGTAAAAGACAGTCTCTGACTGGACCCATTTTTATGTTCTTGTATCACTTTGTGATCGAGTCAAGCTGAGGGAGAAATAGCCAATACCTTTCCCCCTTGTAGATGCCGTTCTCTTTTTCATCAGAAAGAAGACTGATGTAGGGGATTTGTCCATGGTTCACATGCTCTTAAATCAAGGCAAACATCTGAAGTGTAGTAAAATACTGGAAGGCAGGTGACTGCTGATGTTTTGTGCAAAAGCTACTTGACTCTTGGGCCAGATCCTGGCCGCCCCATGCTTGCAGATCAGCGTGGGCTCTGCCAGCAGAATTGCATGCACTGTAACTTTACAGAATTAGCTTTGCCCTGGTAGCTTTGTTATTCAAGCCCATCTTGAAGGCATCTCAAGAACATCAAGCATCTGGGGGACAG